CCCTCTGGAGACTTGGAGAGCGTCGACCCCTCTGGAGACTTGGAGAGAGCCACAGATGACGTGGGAACCTGGGGAGCTGCAGCTTGCATCATGGAGTCCAGGGGAGCTGCAGCGGACGACGAGAGGACCTGAGAGTTGGCAGCAGGCGACGAGGGGACCTGAGAGTTGGCAGCAGGCGACGAGGGGACCTGAGAGTTGGCTGCAGGCGACGAGGGGACCTTGGAGTTGGCTGCAGGCGACGAGGGGACCTTGGGAGTTGCTGCTGCTGACGACGGAGAGGCCAGGGGAGTTGCTGCTGCTGACAACGGAGAGGCCTGGAACTCTGCAGCAGACGACGGAGAGGCCTGGAGCTCTGCAGCAGACGACGGAGAGGCCTGGAGCTCTGCAGCAGACGACGGAGAGGCCTGGAGCTTTGCAGAAGACGACGGAGAGGCCTGGAGCTCTGCAGCAGACGCAGGAACCGACTCCTCTGCAGTGGCGGCAGGAACTGATCTTCTGCGGCGGCGGCGGCGGCGACGGGAAACAGAAACCGACTCTGAGGCGACAGGAGCAGGTGTACCAACGGCGAGGAGCTCAGCAGGTGGAACAGCGGCGAAGATGATGGGTGCAGGAGTCAGAGGAGCAGAGGAGAGTTCAGAAGCGGTGGTGCCAATAGGTGCAGGATGGATTATGGGTTCAGACTGTGTATTGACCATGGGTGTAATGAGAGTCCTAATTTCTATTAATAAATGGTGATACTCAGGGAGCAGAATGAGACCGGGACGTGAAACTAAAAATTCTTCCATCAGGGAAAAAACAACATCTGAACACTCCGGGTTATTTTTTGCAGTGAGAAATGAATCTAGTAAAATCTGGTTTATAGAAGCAAGTTCATGGGGTGAATATGTGACTGACGGGCAAGTGTCACTATGTGAGGATATGGTGTCAGGTGTCGCCCCCACCGGAAACCTGGGAGGTGGGTCGGCGGAACACGCCCCCACAGAGTCACTGGGAGAATGCCCAGGAGGCACGGTCTGACTGGGTTGGACAGCCGCGGCACGGTGTGACGGTGGGAGGCCGGATTCCGCCCCCACCAGGAACCTGGAAGGTGAGGCGACGGAACCCGCCCCCGTAACGTCACGTGGACAGGACTCGCCGAACCGAACAGGAGTGGACCGGAGCTCCCGCGGGACGCTGGACCTCGCCCCCACCGGAAACCTGTGAGGTGAGGCGGCGGGACCAGCTCCCACAAACACACCAGAACCAACTCTATGATTCTGCTCAGCCGACGAGACCGGGCCGGGCACCGCGGACTGCCCCCGGGACCGCTTTCTACCTCCCCGGCGATGGCGGGATAGTCGGGGAACAGGAGCAAAACAGAACTCATCCTCGATTTCTTCGTCCTCCCCCGACGTCCATCCCGAGTAGCCGGGCGAGGCGGACTCAGAAACAGGAGCCTGGTGGGTTCTCCGGTGCCGAGCTCTGTTCTCCTCGAGGACCAGGAATGGAGAGGACAGGATTTCCACCTCCTGGTCATAATGTCCTTGAGGATGGACGGGCCTGGTGCAGAACCCGCCGCACCGGATTGTAGTCTTGTTCATCACGGGAGGATGAACGGAAGGCTCGGAGGGGAAAAAGAAAAAAGGTGAGTTGCCGAGTTGAGTCCTGTCTGCACTACTGGGTTCGTTCCTGTCCACA